ATTGCCTGGTAACCTGTGTCCCTGGCATGCTCTGCAAACTGCGAGTCCTCTACAGCAGCCTAGGCTCCCTAAGTGGGTATGTGCAATCATGACCTGTAAGTGCACAGCTCTGGATAGTGCCCATAAGCTTCTGAAAAATGTTGTGCCTTGGTTTTACTGACTAACTTTTCTTCTTGAGGGAAGAGACCAGTGACAACCCAATACTGGCCACTGGAGGTGGACTGGCTCTGCAGAGTTGAGGGGAAAAAGGGTCCTTACTTATAAAGTAACTGAAAAGCCTTTAGTTAAATAGCTTGCTGTTTTTAGCTTCTGCCAAAGCACTGGCTGCTACATCTCAGGGGTTTCTACTCTGGGATGCAGGGGGTGGTGGAGAGTTGGTGTGAGCTCCAGATAACAAGCATGTCTGGCTTCTTGACAAAAAGAGCCCTGTGTAGCTGCCACCACCCAGCCCCAGATCTCCTCCCAGGATACTTATTAAGCAATCCCACATCCCTTCCTTGTGTGTCCCCAGTGCAGAATATGGAAATCCTTATATTGCTCATAAGATCCCAGTACTTTTACTAGATTCCCCAACAGCCATGGGAAAGAAGGCTTAGCATTGTCCATGGCAGTGGCCACAGGAGAAGCTTGCGGTCAGCTAGCTGCTTTGCACCACTTTCCCGTAGTGCAGGAGACTTGCTGAAGACTTCCATTTTTTGTTCCTTGTTTCCCAGAGGAGGGGTTTGGGGTAGGTGTGTGGGCAGAACTATATGAGAACAAGGAAGATGATTTTTAAAGTACAAGTCATGTTGCTTAACTGAGGTGTCACAGTCCTAGTATAAATTTGACAGGCAATCCCAGCGCCTGTCTTAGACTGTTCTGGTATTTGGTGTTGCTTTTTAAATTGTCTCCTTAATGCCTGTTTTTTTTTGTAATTGCTTTAACCACTAGTGAGGGTGACTTCAGTGCCAATAAAGGTTTCTCCTGTCTCTTGGGCTCCTATGTGGTGGAAGGGGAAGGTAACTCTCTGGGACTTCTGCAGTTCCTAAGCTTGCTCTGTTTTGCAAATGGTGGCACTGTATGCGTATGGGCTACAGTAGCATCTGTACACTCTACTTGGCTCCTGGACTTGCTTTCTGTCTATCTCTAAAAGCCCAGGTCTCCCAAGGGATGGGTACCACTGCCTCTATAGCTCCTTCTGTAGGAAGCAGTTGACAAAGTGCAGGCAGGATGCAGTGCACAAATCTAGTACAGCAGCAGCAGCATGTGCTACAAACAGCAGCCCACCTTAGACCAAGCTCTGTTAAGCAATTACAAGTTAACAGTTGCTGACCCATGTTTTTAAAGCAGGGGTATGTGATCCCTAGCGTAGTGCCATGTCAACCAGCCTGGGTGCTGGATCAGGTGCCTGAGCTAGGCTGCATGCTCCAGGACTCATTGCAGCCTGTGACATGGCTCTGCTGTCCAGCTGAATGGCAAGGCCAAGAGGTAGAGTACCATTGCTGTGTGTCCTTGTAACCTCCAAAAGCTTCTGCAGGGGGTATATGCAAAATCGCCCAAATGCTACTGAATCCCACAACCTGCAAGAGGTCTGGATGCCTTGGGCTGGGAGTCTCAAAAGGTAACTTGGGGCCAAGACCGGTGCAGCTAATGTGTTCTGATCAAAGCATTTTCTTGAGGGGAATCCCAGGTTCAAATCTCTGCCCTGGACAAGGGGGGTGATTCCTCATCTTGGGGACCAGCTGTAACAATTTAGCTGTTCAGTAACTTGGAGGAGGCCACTACTGGAGTCTTAGGGATGATGGTAAGCCAGGTTTCAGTGCCTCACTTAGCATGGAGATGCCCTCCTGGCTGAACATGGATGCAGCCTCCTGTATATCAAGCCTGGCTAATTGAAATGACTTTCTGCTCAGTTTGCTCCTGGGGCTGCTTCTGCAACCAGGGATGCAGTCAAATGTGTCCGTTAAGTCTCAGGCCACTTCAGGGCTGGGGTAGTAAATGCCTTTGACACTGGCCAGTGCTCATCCTGCGCACTGCAGATATGTAGAGCAAAAGCTCACCCCAACAGCTGGCTACTGAGAGCAGCCTTCTGCAAGGTGAAGTGGGCATGCTGGTTGGCACCAGTGGGCAGATTGGATCAGAGGTGAGGAGGGAAGAGGATGCCCCTCTTCCCAGACCATGTTCTTCACCAGCCTTTTCAGTGGTGGGAAGCTGCAGCAAACGAACCTAGAGCAGCCTCAAATGGTGTTAGTGCATGGGAAATGTCCCTGCCTGCACCCTCACAATGCAAATATGCACCAGGGAAGAGCTTTTTTTAGACCAGCTGAACAGGTAGGAGAGTTGTAGGACAAGCTTTCAGCTCTACTCCACCTCAGACCAGTGAGAAAGGATTGCAGCTTACTGGCTGCCTCTTGGCACCTCCAAGGAGTAGCAGCACTTCATGAACAATGTTGCCTATAGAGGCTTATGCCTCTCTGAACTAGTTACTGCCTAAGGTAACTCCCTGCCTTGCTTTCTGCCTTCAGACTAGCATAGGCAACTACCTCCTCCAATTGAATAAAACAACATCTCTGCCAATTAATTAGTTTATTCTTGACAAGACAGGAGACTACAGAGTTAGAGAATGCTTGCTTTAACCATAGCTTAGTTCAAGTATGTACGCTCCTTGACCTCCTTGCAAGGTCATGGGATGTCTCTGTGCTGTAAGTGGGTTTTACAAAGCCAAAAGGCCTTAACTGTTCACTGACAAGTAATCTTGAACATAAGTCGTGTCATAGCTATTGAAAGCCAGTCTTCAGTGCCCTTGCTTTTGCTACCACAGCAGACACTTTTGCTGGCTCAAAGCACCAGTCGATATTCACTTGAACAGAGCAGACCAGGCATAAAGAGAGAAGACATGCTGCTTGGAGCAGCAGGATCTTTTTCCAACAGCCTTTAATGGAAAGTTAGCACATCATCCAAGGATTTAGTAACTAAATCCTTGGATGATGGTGTCGCTGTGGATGTAGTCTTTCTAGACTTTAAGAAGGCCTTTGACACTGTCTATCACCCCATCCTGATTAATAAATTAAGTAACTGCGGCATTGATGCCTGCACAGTTGGATGGGTAAAAAATTGGCTGATGGGGTGCATCCAGAGAATAGTGGTGGACAGGTTGTACTCAATCTGGCAAGATGTGAGCAGTGGGGTACCCCAAGTTTGCTGATGACACTAAGATGTGGGGCATGGTGGGCACACTTGAAGGGAGAGAGAGGCTGCAACTAGATTTAGACAGACTACAAAAGTGGAGTGATGAAAATAGGATGGGGTTCAACAGACAAATGTAGGGTGCTGCACCTTGGGAGAAGGAATCCACAGCATACATACAGGCTGGGGAGTTCCCTTCTTGAAAGCACAGAGGTGGGAAGGGATCTTGGAGTCATTACTGACTCCAAGATGAACATGAGCTGCCAATGCCAGACCGCAGCCAGCAAGGCCAGCCATACCTTGTCATGTATCCAAAGGTGCATCTCAAGCCAGTCCAGAGAAGTGATACTCCCCCTCTATGCGATTTTGATCAGGCCGCAATTGGAGTACTTTGTCCAGTTCTGGGCGCTGCACTTCAAAAGGGATGTGGCCAGCCTGGAGAGGGTTCAGAGGAGGGCTGCCTGCTTGGTGAGAGGGCAGCAGGACAGGTCCTACGAGCAGAGACTAAGGGACCTGAACCTGTTCAGTCTCAGCAAGAGGAGGCTGAGGGGGGACCTGGTGGCTGCCTACAAGCTCATCAGGGGAGATCAACAGCAAGTAGGCAGAGCTCTTTTCTCCCCAGCACCACCTGGGGTGACGAGGAACAATGGTCATAAGCTGATGGAGATCAGAAGGAAATATTTTACAGTTAGGGTGGCCAAAATCTGGAACCAACTTCCCAGGGAGGTGGTCCTCACCTCTACTTTGGGCAAATTCAAGAGGAGGTTAGACCATCACTTGTCTGGGGTCTTGTGAACCCAGCATCCATTCCTGCCTATGGCAGGGGGTCAGGCTAGATGATCTGTTCAGGTCCCTCATGACCTTAGCTACTATGAAAGCATGATATGGGTCAGTCTAGGCACCAACAGCAGGTGATGGTAATTGGGGGCCCATGGTTGTGTGCATTCAGGTATCACCAATGTGACAGCCTGATGGTAGAGTAAAGGACACTAAAATAAGCTGGCTGCCATGAGAGTCTGCTTTGAATTGTAGGATAAAACCTCAAAAGGCCCAGTTTGCCCAGGCATCTACTGAGATTGTGGGAAGGGACACTAGTCACAGCACTTTGGGCAGGCGTAAAAGATCCAGGGGCATTTCTTGAGCTACACTACACAATAGGTGATGGCCTTGTTCCAATATGACAATATTCAAACCAGACTTTTTTGTTTGGGCAGGTGGGAGGGGAAAGAAATCACTATTGAATTAATCAGGTTCCCTTTGCACTCCCTGAATAGCTAAGAAAGAAGAGGGGCAGCTTTGCATGTGTTGTCATTATAAAGCTGCCATTTACTGGTATTTTGGGCCTGTAAAAAGACAAAACAAAACAAGCAAGCACACAGGAGCATTTTAAAAATTACTGCATCATACAAATAGAGTCCAAACTATTCGTGACAAGTTACAAGGCCAACATCTCTGCCCAGTCTTTTAGTACAAGGGTGGGTTGTACAGATCTTCCCCATGCACCTTAGTGTTTTAAAACCATCACCACTCTTAGGCTAACAGTCAGAAGTCAGCCAGAGTTTCTTTGTGTCCTTAAGATTTCATCTGTCATAGGACGTGCTAGGTTTCTGTTGCTGGATGGAAACATTAATATTCTGAAGCTGCTGTAGAACAGGAGATAAGAACGCGCGCACACATGCACACAGGGCAGAGGATTTGGTAGAACAAGTCCCATGTCTCAGTTTCTACAGCAACGGTGAGTCCAAATTCCAAGCAGCAGCTTTACGTAAAAAAAAATCCCA